TTTATCTTCATGCCAGTGTCACACCTTTAAATAGTCAAAATATTTCTTAGAAATAATCTGACATATGATATTTACCTATCTGGATTGACTGATTCCTACCCTCTAAAATGTAAGTTCCGTGAGAGTAGAGGTTTTTATCTGTTGAATTCACTGTCCTGTTTTCAGGGTCTAGAACAAAACCTATCACCTAATAGATACTAAATAAATATTTATTGAAAGAATGAACAAGCAAATGAACAAACAATTACATCCACAAATCCTCAGTGAAGAAGGATTAGTAGAAGAATAATTTGGAAAATGTTAATGACATCAAATTTTGATCTGTGTGGTTCATATTTCTGGACTATTTATATATTATTTGTTGTAGCTGCTGGTTTTCCCAGTGAAATTTTTGAGGATAGGAAAAGTGAAGGGATTAAGAAAATGTGGCAGGAGTGAGGACTCTGGCTTCTGACCCCATTGTACTGGTGACAATAATAATTAACATTTGTATTTCAATTTTCTTCCAGAAGTTGTTGCATTTGATTTCTAAAATATCCCTCTGGGTAGGTGTTTCCACCATTGTTTTCAGATTTATAACCAGGTTTAGAGAGACTCTTCCAGTATCACTCAAGTAGTATAAAAAATCCTCCATTTAAATTCTGGTCTTATCATGTCAAAGTCCAGGTCTATTCCTCAGCACCTGTCTGCCTTCCTAATTGATTTTGCACAGTGAAGAAGCCACTTCCCTTTCCAGGACTCAGTTACCACATTCAGAAAATGCCTGGATGATCTCTTAGGTTCCTTCCGATTTTAAGTCCTGTGATTTTATGAACCTTTCTCCCCCGCTATTTTTTTTTTGGGGGGGGGACCATACTGTGGATTGAATCCAGGGGTACTCTATCACTGAGTCACATTCCCAGCCCTTTTTATTTTGAGACAAGATCTCTCTAAGTTGCCCAGACTGGCCTCAAACTTGTGATCTTCCTATCTCAGTCTCCCAAGTAGCTAGGATTGTCAGCATACACCACCACAGCCAACTTTCCCTCCCTATTGTCTAGTTTAAAAACTGTTGTAGCTTTAAGAAGTACTAAAATAAAGCTGGCCACAGTGATGCAGCCAGCAGCAGCTCAGGAGGCTAGGCAGAAGGATTGTAAGTTTGAGGTCAGCCTGGAGAACTTAGAAAGAACCTGTCTCAAAACAAAAAATAAAGGGTCTGGGTTTGTAGCTCAGTGGTAGTGTGCTTGTCTAGCATGTGTGAGGCACTGGGTTTGATTCTCAGCACCGCATATAAACAAAGAAAGAAAGAAAGAAAGAAAGAAAATAATAGTCCACTGACAACTAGAAAAGTAATAACAACAATATAAGTAAAAATTAGAAAGGTCTGGGGATGTATATAGTTCAATGGTAGATATCTCTTGGTTCAATTCCTAGTACTGAAAAAAAAAAGTAGTAACATAATGAAATTTTATTTCTTTTGGTAGTTTATAGCTATTTCAAATTCTGATTCAGGTGTTTAAAATCAGATATAGACAACCCCCACCTCCACCCATTTTTTTTTTTTTTCAGTGCTGGGTGTTGAGTTTAGGGCCTCATATGTGCTAGGCAAGCATTCTACCATTGAGCCCACTCCCAGCCCATTCCTTTACTTTTTTAAAAAAATGTTTATTTATTTATTCTAATTAGGTATGTATGACAGCAGAATGCATTTTGAGTCATTGTACACAATTGCAGCACAACTTTTCATTTCTCTGGTAGTATGTGATGTAGTCTTACGAAATGCTTAAGAAAGAGTATCTTAAAAAAGAATGAATTGGTTTTGTTAAGCATGGTACTTCAGAAGGGTTTTCATTATTTTTTTAATGTTATGAGGATTTTACTCTGACTTTATTTGAAAACAAACAAAATGGGACGAAATATAGCAACATTTCTAGCTATAAAGACATTTAGAGCAGAATAAAAAATAAATGAATTTGAAATATTTGGCTACCAAGTAACTAAACAAACCTTGGTGAAAATACAAAGCAAGGCTTAGTCTTTAGCTTACTATATACCTGGTAAATTCCTTTATGCAAGATGTTTGTATTACATATAAATCTTTCTGTTAAAATAAGATGATTAAACTTCTATTGAGCAATAGAAGAAGTGAACTATATTTCTTGTTCTTAGGAAGCTTAGTTTTGTCTCAGACTGTTATTTATGGCCATCTAGAAGTAAACTACTTTTGGTGTTACATGAAAAAACTATACACAGAAAAATATGTTATTTGCACATCCTTTTTTGAGTTTTATTTTACTAAAAAGTAGAATTCACACGGGCCAAAAAACAAAAACAAAAACAAAAAAAAAACCAAATGAACAAAAACCATGCAAAATAGTTTTGTGCACACCTCTAACATGTTACATTCCACTTCTGAAATCTTACCCGCCCCCACTCCCAGGGAAAGAAAACACACACAAAAAATAGGAAAGGTATCATATGTTGAAAAGTTAACATTATAAAAGCTAGATTCCTAACACAAACACTGCAGAACAAAGTCACTCCTTTACAAAAAGTTAATGTTTATCAGTGTTAAATTAATGTCATATAAAGCAGTCAAGAACTATAGATTCAGTGTGCTCCTTACCATGAACTATTAAAAGTTATGTTTGGTGTTGTAGGACACCCATGATATTAACTTGAACTACACCGTCTTAATCTTGACACTACGCCAGACTCGCAGAAAACAGGTGAACCACACTCAATACTACCTCCTTTTCCTGCTATCTTTAAGGTTTGTTTGTTTTGTTTGTTTGTTTTTGGTGGTGGTTGTGTTTGGTTTTTGGTTTTGTTTTGTGGTGCTGAGCATCAAACCCAGGGCCCGGCACATGCTAGCAAAGCACTCTATCACTGGGCTATATCCCTCAACCCTTAAAAACGTTTTATTGCTTGTTTGCTTATTTTTTGGCAAATAAGAGTCTCAGGATCCTGAGCTCTGAAATGTGGGGGAAATTTTTCAATAGAGGACTAAGGTAAAACTGTCCTTTAAGATATTTCCATATTTCCCTTTTTTCTTTTTTCCCCCTAGTACTGGGGATTGAATCCAGGAGCACTCTATCACTGAGCTAAATCCCCAACCATTTAATTTTTTATTTTAATACAGGGTCTAAATTGCCCAGGTTAGCCTTAAACTTATGATTCTCCTGCCTCAGCTTCCCAGGTAGCTGGGATTACAGGCATGTACCACCACACCTGGTTGATCACACAATTTTTAATGAACACTTGCATAAAACCTTTAAAAAGAGATTTTAGAAACTCTAAAATGTTTTTCTTTCCTCCAGAACAGTTTCTGATCACTTAGTAGATGATTTTTTGGACAAAAACCCTGCTTAGAGCCTTTCTATGTAGTAGCAAGCTTCTTGTCCCTGTATATTTGAACTTTCCAAGAATAACAGAATACTCCAAGGTACTTGTTTGCATCTCCTGAAAAATTTCCAGGCTGTTCCAGCAAAATTTACTCTCCTTGGTGCTTTGTGTTTACTTTCTTTACTGCATCAAAATAAAAAAAGTGCCCTCTGGTAGGAGCACATTTATGTTCCTCCCTAATGGTGCCAGGAAGGGCCGATGGCCTCGCACTTGGACAAAGTATGGGCTTCCGCTAGGGACATGGCCAGCTGTTTCATTGTCCTTCGGGGAGAAGAGACACACTCTGGTAGAACGGCAGTCCCCTGGAAGTTCTCAGCAGAAAAAAAGTCCTAATGTATTCCTGTAAAACATTTCAAACGTGCAAAGAGAAAATTCAACACAAGAGTGAGGAGACATTAGCAGAGAATAGGAAAAATGCCTAAATATTGTGCTCCAGTCCAAAACATCCATGCAAACTGCTTGCTTCAATGCCATATTCTATGAATATCTTAATAGTGTTTCCTAAAAAGGAAAGAGAGCATTTGGTCTCCAACCTCAGAAACAAAGCTTCTCATTTTATTGCCAAACAGCTTTAAGTAATGATTACTTAACTCCAACTATCACCTATATTACAAAGAAATTAAAGGCTCAAGTCTATTCCAATAAATACTTAAATAACTGCTAGATCAATACACCTTATACATTCTGAAAATATTGGCCAAAACAGCAAAACATCCTTCTTTTCCTTCCAGCCATCAAGATGACTGTACATAATCAGTGTGCTGCATTTAAAGGAATATATGTATGAAAAGGATGGTGCAGACCTGAAGATCCTGCCAGCTCATGCGTTCTTACTGAGGTTGGCAGAAAGTAAGGTTCCTCTTCCCCACTCACAGTTTGGGCGTGTTAGCCTATTCTGCCATCCTGTGTCAGACACTGTCTTTTCTTTCCACAGGCCATGGAGCCTGTGTGGGGGGTAGGGGTGCTGAGGAAGACATTATAAGTGAGCAGTTGCAGATAGGGAGTGAAATACATGCAGAGGACACTCATGCTTAGGAACCTCTTAAAGCAAAACAAGGGTCAAACGCAACCCAGAATCTTTTAAACTCTCCTCTCATACACTACAAAGCTAAACTGGAAAAACCCAATTCCACTTCTCCTTCACAATTCAAAAAGGAGCTAAGCCTTCCAGGGACATGGGATATTTCAAACTGAAAGAGGGAAGCTGAAGGGCCCATCCTTCCTTGGCTGTTAGCAGCATGAACCAGAGCTCTTCCTGGAGCCTTGTCAACCGCCCAGTGGCTCCCAGAAGACACCTCTTCCGACATCTGGGCTCCTTTTAGACATTTCAAGTTTGTTCATGGCCTGAAGTCTGATGTGCAGAGGTAGCTCCATGACGCTAGTAATGGAATAACACTTCCTTTTTTGGCGAGGAAAGCCCAATTGGTCTTAGCTAACAAGCTCTCAGTTATGGCTCTAAAAATACCCTGCAGCAAGCACTGTTTGGCACTTCGTTTTGTTTGCCAGAGGAGCTCTACAGAACACAGAATGCTTCGGATTCTCCATGACTGCTCTGAGCTCTGTCCCTGCTCCGATGACAGCAGGGAGGTGTATCACTTTGGGAAAGCTGCTTTTCATTTTTCACTTTTGAGTTCTTGGAATCCTGTCTTAAACGTTTGAAGTGCAATTCCAGTCTTGGATTAATTACTAGCTTGGTTTAGAATCTTCATTTGGCTTCTAGTCTGAACTATGCAAATACACGATATGTGTACAGAAGAAAAGACTAAAATTATACTTCAAAAGAGCTCAATTGCTTCCTCTCTTCCCCCCTTTCCCCCCAAAAGAAATATCAGCCTCCTCGAATCCTTCATTGTCAGCAGCAGGAGCAGCCTGGGGCCTCGTCTGCACCAGACGCCCTTGGCTCCCTACACATTGATGGCATGTGCATGCTTCTTGCACAGGGGCTTGTCCTTCTTGGAGTAGAACGGCTGCCCTTCCAGATTCACATGGCAGACCTGGGACAGAGAACAGACCAATGTGAGATGGGGCCTTGTAGCCAACATGGTGGAGGGGGCAGGAACAGATTTCAGTCACCCCTTTAAGAAAGCAATGTCATATGCAGCTGGGGGAACAAGCTGTTGCCTGTTTCTCCCCACTATGAATTCTTAATTACTGAAGCAGAGTACATAAGACGAACTATATAAAAATGAAGACTTCCAAAGAAGAACATGGAATAAAACTTAAATTAGATTAATTAAACTTAATGGGATATAGAATATATGTGTTGAAGATGTCCAATTTATGCTATCCAAAGTGTATAAGGAACCAATACAAGTTCAAAAGTTGGTACCCACAGAGAGGAGCAACATCTAAGCAAATACTATTAATAAACTAACAAACACATCAGAAAAGATTACCCTCATCAATAAAAAATTATAAACTTCCTGAGATACCACTGGACACCTAGTAATGTAGCAAAATAAGTAAGACAAAAAACTTCCATGACTTTTCATCCTTAACCTTACATGACATTAGCCAAAAATTGGGGTGGGAGTAGGAGGAGTAATCAATGAAAAATCAGCAATACCAAAAGGGAATAGACCTTAAAGATTGCTAGGGACACATAAATCAGCTTGATGTTCTACAGGGGGTGTAGCAACATTGAATAAGAGCCAAAAGATGTGCCTACCCTGTAACCCAGTAATGCCACCCTGGAGAATTTAATATTGCAGAAACAACTGCACAGAATAAGAAAGCAGTGTATGCTCAACTAGAAACCTAAAACTATTAAATTTTCTCTTAATAGGGAGATGATTAAACAAATGTTTATGGTCTATTTTTCCAATGGAATATTCACCATGAAAAAAAGATAAATCAAATAAGGAAGGGTGTATGTAGAGAAAAATACCAGGAAAAAAAGCAGAAAAAAATTATGTATTCCCATGATGACAATATATGAATTGAGTTTGAGACTGGAGACATTCTAGAAGGAAGGGAACTAATTAATCTTTGTTGAGGCTGTCATGGGTGAAGCAGGATGTTAAACTCTATATATACATGGTCTCATTTAATTGTCACCCAAACTTCATGGGTGAGGTACCCCTTTCCCCCATTTCACAATTGAAAAATGGGCTCAAAGAGCAGAAATGTCTTGCTTAAGTCAGAGACCTAGTCAACTGGAGAGCTGGGAATCATGCCCAGGGCTGTAAGGACCCAGTTTCTAGCTAATTTTCCCCACACCTCATAGCAGAGAGGGGCTATGTTTACTTGGAATTGTTCTGAGCTTGCAGATTTTCCTTCTAAGTTTGTTGGAATACTAATATGTAGCCTGCCCCCAGAAGGATAATATGTCAGCATTGACTAGGAGGTCACATTGACTGGGATGTTCCAGGATGTTCTAAGGATGGCCCCAGCCTTATAGAAGACTCTGAGCATCCCTACTGGGGAGAACAGTTGAGGGCCACATCTAGGACTCTGACATTAGAACTGCAGGGGTCTCTGTATACAGATGGGGATAGAGAGGGAAATCATGCAAACCCCACACATAAGGATACAGAAATCATCTTTCTGAGCTGAGCTTGAGTCAGTGAGCATCTCTTCATTCCAGGAGAGTTGGAGAGGAAAGGGGCACAATGATATCCTCACTGGGGAGATTATACCTGGGGTTGTATATGGCTGCCAATGGGCCATGGAAACCAATAAGCTGAAAAAATATCTGATAACGTCACTAGTCAAAGCAGCAATGATGAGTGTAACCAGGTACCATGGTTTGGTTTGTTTGTTTCCTAAAGATTCATATGTTGGAAGCTTGGCCTTTGGTGTGAAGATATTAAGAGGTGAGACCTTTAAGAGGTAGAATCTTATGGCAGGTTTTTAGATCAGTTTGGGGCTTGCCCTTGAAAGGGATTAAAATATTCCTCTTAGGACCTTAGTTTTTACAAGACAGACCTCACCAGTGCTGAGACAATGCCAGTACTCTGCCCTTGAATCTCAAAAGCCATGAGCTAAATAAACCTCCATACTTTATAAAGTTGGTCTACCTTGGGTATTGGTTATAGTAATGCAAAATTGACTAATAAACCAGGTTCTCATGGATGCCTCAAGTTGCTGGTGACAACTTGCAAACAAGACCAAGAAGATGAACATATAAGGTCTAACTCATGAGAATGTGTTTCAGGGGAGATATAAAAGCAGCTCTAGAGTGAGTTGATACCTCACAGCTCTGGCTGTTCTGGGACAATGCTGGTCATTTGTGAGAGTTTCAGGATGAATCAGGTGGGAGGGTGTTGGGGGACTGAAGACTGAGGAACAAAGAGAAACACAGTCTCACAGGTGGCTGATGAATAAAATGGGTCTCAGGGCTAGAACACAAATAGTGAGTTGTGCTCAGTGCCTTCTTGGTGCAAGGTCACATCATGGTGGAGGAGGCCATCAGACCGCCCAGAGCAGGGAGACAGCAGGGAGGGTCCAACCCCAAGGCTCAGAGTCAGCTGGCATCAGATCTCGCTGTGGAGGAGTAGTGGCCATGGACAGTGCTGATCATAGTCCCAGCAGAGTGAAGACATGCTGAGAGCCACGGCTGAGTATTAATTGACAGGCGCCTCTGCCTGTCCGCCTCTGCCGCAACTTTTGAGTTCTCGCACTATTTTGGAGTTCTCGTGGGGATTTCCGGGGATTCCCCGAGAGTTCCCATTGCAAAGACAGTGAAATATACCGTTTGTGGCAGCTTCAAGATTACCTCCAAAAGTTACACCACTTCCCACATCCTCCTGATATCCACACCAGTGGGAAGGGACTAGAAACCAATTAGACTTAGAGGAAAAGAGGGACCAATAAGAATTTTCCCTCACTAAGGTAGGACCAAATCCCTTCCTTTGGAACTCAAGGGCCAAAGCCAAACTGGAGCTTAATCTCACCCTGATCCACCTTCTTAGCTCCCAGATTTCATTTCATATGCTTTGGATTTTAGAGATTATTGTCTTGTTCTGTACTTTAATTGCTTGTGTGTGTTAGCTTCATTCTCCATTTCAAGATTCTAGATTATATAAAGGTGAAGACTTGCTCTGGGATATTCTTGTATTCTCCAAACTCAGGGAACGTTTGGTCAACTGAATTTGTCTGAATGTGGTATCCTGAGATCTAAGAAAACAACACATCAATGGAAGAACTAGTCTGGATCTTCTTTCTTAATAGTTTCTTTTTAAGCTATAGGAAAATACATGTTCATTAAAAGTCATTTGAGAATGTAATGTGATAGAAAGAAGACTACCCCCTAATCTAGGTTAGGGTTTGGCTCAGTGGTAAAGCACCTACCTAGCATGCACAAAGCCCTCTGTTTGATCCCCAGCACAGGAAAAAAACAAAAACAAACAAACAAAAAAAAAAAAAAAAACAAACAAAACAAAAAAAACCCTGCAAGTTTTCTGATCAAAAGATTTCCTTCCAGAGATCAAAACCATGTTCCTCTTTGCAACATCTCAAGGGGGCAGTGAGTGACACAGAGGGCTAGTTTACAGGAAGGCCTAACAATCTCCTTGCTTATTCTTTAAAGGATGGATCTACTCAATTTCTTTGATCAAATCCACTGGACAGATTCATAGGTCTCTCACATCTGACTAGGTTTAATTCTCTACAACTCATTTATAACACCAGCCTGAAACACCTCAAGCCTTGTATCTTCTTCTGGTTTCTAGGACCTGTGCTATTGTGGCTTGAGGGAGCCGACCCTTGATCACCTTGCCATGGTTCCCTTTCCATGCAACACAGCCCTCTCATCATTCTGCCTTTGGATAAGAGTCCTTCTGTGCCACTGTCTTCCTGAAATTTCTCCAAGTCTTTTGGATCCTTCTAAAAGTTAGGTAGCCAAACTTGCAAGCAGTGTCTCAGGATCAGACAAGTCATGGGTTGAAAGTAAGGGTCAGAGAGTCCTGTGCTATGTCTGGGCTGAACCATAGCTCTGCAGGAGACAACCCATTGTCCTTTTTAGAAAGGGAAGCCCTGAGGTATTTAGAGGACCTTAAAAGACAACTGAAGAATCTATTCAAAGAGCTGGAAAATGAGAGTGTTAAAGAGTTGAATTGTGTCCCTCAGAATTCATATGTTGAAGCTGGGCACAGTAGCACATGCCTGTAGTGTCAGTTACTTGGGAAGCTGGGGCAGGAGATGGAGGCCCGGCTGGGCAACATAGGGAAACCATGTCTTGAACAAAATAAAACAAATTTATATGTTGAAGTCCTATTCCCAGTACCTCCAGCCTTCCCAGCACATGCATGCAGCAGCAACCTTATTTGGAAATAGTCTTTGTGGACACAATTCAGATGTAAATTGAGGTCATACTGAAATAGGCCCTTAGTCCAATATGATCTATGTCTATATATGAAGAGGAGAACTTACAGAGTCAGATACATATACATGTAAAGATTCAGACACAGCCTTGGGGGCAGAGAGTAGCTGCAAACCAAGAAATGCAATAATTGTGGCAACCACCAGAAGCTAGGAGAGAGGGCGTGGCCACCTCTCTGCACTTTGATTTTGGACTTCTGGCCTCCTGGACTGTGAAAGAATACATTTCTGTTGTTTAAATCATTGGTTTATTATGGCAGCTCTAACAAAGTAATACACAGGGCGAATACAATGCATCCCACAAATAGTAGAGGTCTTGAAGTAAAAAATAGGAGCTTATGGCAGTAAAATTCATGACTAGGATTGTTCTGTATCACAAGAGATTATCTTGTGATATATCAAGGGGGCAGTGAGTGATACACAGGGCTAGTTTACAGGAAGGCCTAACAATCTCCATGCTTATTCTTCAAAGGACAAGATCTACTGAATGTCTTTGATCAAATCCACTGAGCAGTCTTATAGTTCTCTTATAGCTCTAAGAGATTATTCAAGTTTAAACTGCATGGATATTTCATACATTCCCAAGATCTACCTTGAAGAACTCTGGTTTTGTTTTTTATTTATGGTAGCACATTCTTTTCTCAAATAAAGTAAGTTCAATTATAAATTGATATTACAGGGCTTTGTAAGGGATGATTATTTCCTATCTCCATCTTCAGGGTCTAAACATTTGTAGGCTCAGCATCATGTGCCCACCTCGAACCAAAGCCCTTTAAAGGAAAATGTCAGTCTCATAGTAAAATGACCCAGCTGTTCGGCAGAAATAAATCATACACTGTTAATAGTTAATCTAAGGCTTATCTACAGGCAGCTGTATATCAAGAACAGGACCACTTAGGAAAATAAAATGATGACTCAGTCCTGCTTTCTAAAGGTTCTATTAAGAGAAACCTTATCTCAGCTTTCCATAGGACTAGTCAATAAGCTCCAATCTGGTGTTCATGGTGAAAATTTCAGGGAAAACCCTCAAATCACTTCATCATAACTGAAGCAACATATAAGCTTAAGAAGCCATCTGTCCCTTTAAGTTCAAACCTCATTTGCTGGCCCCTCACTGATGGAAAAAGCATTACTGGTGGGACAAGCTACTGGTTTCCAAATCCTAGGGCACTCTGTTGCCCTTTGTGAAGTGGAAAGTAACAAAGCCACACTGGTTTGTAAATAATCAATAGTAATAAAACTTTGTTCAACCATGGCATATCAAGGCATTACGGTATCTGCCAACTTTTAAAAATAATCCATACAGGGTTGGAGCCATAGCTCAGTGGCAGAGCACTTGCCTAGCATGTGTGAGGCACTGTGTTCAATCCTCAGTACCATATTAAAAATAATAAATAAAATAAAGGTATGCTGTCCATCTATAACTATAAAGAAAAAATTTTAAAAATAATCAAAACATCAGAATGCTGGAGTTGCAAGGGAGATTGGTGGTTGGTCACCTAGCCTTCATGTACTCCTTTCTGATAGTCAGGACCCCAGATCATTAGAACCCAGGGCTAAATACGTACCGCACAAATGAAGCAGGTGTCATGCCAGGTATGCCCCAGGGCTTCAATAAACTTGTCACCAGCTTCCACGGGGAAATCACAACCATGACACTTGGTGCTGAACAGGTTGACGTAGTCTGAAATGAAAGGCAGAGTGAGGACCAGGAACCCAGGAAGGCAGGAAGGAGCAATCTGGCCACATATGTAGAAGGTGAGGAAAACTCCCAAATCAGTGGGTTGGGGAAAGTGGGTGAAACCTAATTGGTAGCTTGTCATATCACATAAAATATTAGTTTCTTGATTGATTTCTTTTTCCTTTTCCAGTAATTTGCTTTGATGTTGTGGAGACTCAGGCTTATTCACTATCTTATGCTGGTTTGATCTGCAAACACTTTTGGGAATTGTCATCAACTTTTTGCTGGGTGATTGTCTCTTCTGCCTCTGTCACCTCTGATAGCCCAAACAGATCAGTCCCAATACCAGGAAGAAAAAAAAAAAAAATCCACATTTCCCAACAGTTATTTACTTCAGAATAATGAAGTTAAGATTTTTTAAGTTATAGAATGTTCTTTACTTGACCATTCTTCCATCAATGGGCATTGTGTTGACAACATATTTTTACTACTATGAAAACTGTGGCTCAGTGGTAGAGCGCTTGCCTAGCATGTGTGACGCACTGAGTTTGATCCCCACCACCACATTAAAAAATAAATAAATAAAATAAAATAAAGGTATTGTGTCCATCTATAATTTAAAAAAAATTGAGCCAGGTGTAGTGGCACATTCCTGTAATCCAAGTGGCTTGGGAGGCTAAGATAGGAGAATCACAAGTTGGAGGCCAGACTCAGCAACTTAGCGAGGCCCTAAACAACTTAGCGAGACCCTGACTCAAATAAAAAAAAAAAATTAAAAAAAAAATAAAAAGCAAAAAGGACTGGGGATGCAGCTCAGTAGTAAAGTGCCCCTGGGTTAAATCTCCAGAATGAATGAATGAATAAATAAATAAATAAATAGATAGATAGATAAATATTTTGAGCTGTCCACAGTTGCACCTGCAATCCCAGTGACCTATACGCTGAGACAAGAAGATCATAAATTTGAAGCCAGCCTTGCAGTTAGCAAATTGTGTCTCAAAATTTAATAAAAGGGCTGAGATATGGCTCAGTAATAGAGCACCCTGAGTTCAATCCCCAATATAGAAAAAAAAATTGAGCTATATTATTGAGGGAAAGCATGTTCTCCTTCCCATCCCCCTCAGCAAATGAGATGATACTACTAAATATTATTTGTATAATGCTTGTAGCTTATTTGACATTTTCATATAGATGTTCTGAGGTTTGAATGTGTTCCCCAAAGTTCATGTGTTGAAAACTGAATCCCCAATGCTATAGAATTGGGAGATAGGGCCACGAAGGAGGTGTTTAGGGCATAAGGGCCCTGCTTTCATGAATAGATTAATGTCATTATTGAAGGAATAGGTTCATTATGGCAGAGGTGGGTTTCTTATAAAAGTGAGTTTGGGCCAGGCACAGTGGTAATCCCAGCCACTTGAAAGGCTAAGGCAGGAGGAACTCAAGCTGGAGACCAGCTTTAGCAATTTAGCAAAACCCTCTGCAACTTAGAAAGACCTTGTCTCAAAATAAAAAATCAAAATGACTGGGGATATAACTCAGTGGTAAAGCACCCCTGGGTTCAATCCACAGTACAAAAAAAATGAGTCAGAGTTGAATTATTACTGTGTTAGTTTTGTTTTTGTGGATGAGGTGAAAGCCCCTCAGAGAGATGAAGAGCCCAGCCAGAGTCCCATGACTAAGGCACCATCAGGCCCTGAGTGCCTCTGCCACAGCAGTTGTCCTCCATGGGCCACAGGGGCAGCAGTTCTACCACACCAGTTGCAGAATTCTTCATGAGTCTTCTAGAAAATCTTCATCCCCCTTATGGAGACTTCAACTCCTCTACCACTCAGAAGTGTTACTTATCTGTCCACAGCTCTGCCACAGTTGGCTTTTTCTTGCAGTGATTTTCTGTTCATCTCTTTGTGGACAGTAGGTCTGTTCATTATCTCAGATCATGGACTGAGAGGCACTGTGCCTTTCGGGTTACAAACCTGGAGTCTGAAGAAAGCAAGCTGGGTTCAAATCCCAGCTCTATTAAGGAATTGTTTAAGCATGAGGCAAGTCACCTAACTTCTCAGGACCTCAACTTTCTCATCTATATAATGGAAATAATTACAGTTCCAAACTCATAGGGTTGTTGAACAGATTAAATAAGATAATATGTGAGGTATTTGGCACAAACACTAAAAATGTTAGCTCTTATTTTGTAAATCTTCATAAACGATGAAAGGAGGAAAGAGAACTATGGTTATTTGAGTGCCCACTGTATTTCTTGTTTAATTCTCATGGCAGTTTTGTGAAAAGTTAATGTTCCTGATTTAAGCATAAGGAAACAACTGGAAAGGTTCCATCACATCAGTTATAACAAGCAGCACCTGGCCTAATGGACTCTAAAGTTCAACCTCCTTCCATGACTTTATTCTGTCTCCAACTCCTTATCTATTTGCCATTGAGCTTTGATAAATTTTACTTATCTCTTGCATATTTTTTTCTAACCTCTGACTTCTCCTTTTGCTTAATTATATTTTATCATGAAAACGCTCTTGTATAGCCCAATTCATCAGTCTTGGCTCTGATAGAATACTTAATCTCTTCAATAGTCAGAAATGTATCACCTCACCAGAGCTAAGCAAACATGGTTGTGCTCCCTTTAGAAAGTTGCCACAGGTTCAGGGTTTACTCTATGCCCAATAGCGGCTTACTAGTGTGGGGTATTGGCTAATCCATCTCCACTTGAGCCAAGCCCTGTACCCGCCTTCTGACATATTTCTCATCACTCCCAGTCAGTTTCCAGGTGCTCTGCTCTTTCTGTTAAACTTCTGTGTCTCTATATCAAACAGGTCCCAGTTTTAGGAAACCTCGCCATGTTCTCTACCTGAATCTCTGTAATCTTTAGGGTCAAGCCTTCATCCTGGGAAGTTCTCAAGCCCCACCTCCACCAAGAGAGATTAGATGACATTCTAGAGCAATTCCCTTCTTTATCCTTTCATTCATCTACACATCCATCTTCCTTCCTTCCTTCTCTCCTTCCTTCCTTCCATCCATCCATCCATCTGCACAACTGCCCATCATTCTTGAATGTCCATGTATATCACAGCATATCCCATGATGTTCGGTTTGCTTGAGGTTTTTGAGGGCAGAGACCTGCCATGCTGGACTATGCACAGTAGCTTTAGTGGGGACGGCTCAAAGTACATGTTCAATACACATTTGACAGATAAATGATGAACAGAAAACAAAGAAATGGTTCAAGCTAATGTACTAAATAGTCCCTCTCCTGTAGGTTTTTCACAGATTAAGCTTTTAAAATAGTTTGAGCCTATTTCTGAAATATCTAGTCTTACCTACTGAATGATTTTTTAAATTTTAAACTTGATTTTGTAATGATTTGAGAATTGCCACTTTGTTTGAAAATTTGGTAGCACATATCTGATTCTAACACATTTTTATTGGTATTTTTCCTCATTTATATTCTATAAAAGGAGATTGTCATGAGTTCCAAATTAAATTTGTGCATGCATGGGTCTTTCCATCCAGGAGATAATCTAGCTCCTCATTTATTTCTTCTTTTAAGTCTTCATAATTTTCTTTGACTAATTATTTTATGTCCCAAGTTGAATTAATACCTTTGCATTTAATGGATCTTACTGCTATTGTAAAAAGATTTCCATCCATTACACTAGGAATGCTCTGTGTCGAAAAAGGACTTAGTACTTTTCTCTAGCAATGGTCCTCAAACATTAGAATCACAAGGAGGATTTGGTAAAACACAGGTCATCAAGTTGTACACTCCAAGTTTCTGATTCACAGATTGGGAGTAGGACTCAAAGATTTCTATTTCTAGCAAGTTCTCAGATGATGTTGAAGCCACTGGTCCTGAGACCACACTTTAAGAAACAGTTCTGGCCAGGCATGGTGTCACACACCTGTAATCCCAGTGGCTTGGGAGGCTGAGACAGGAGAATTGTGAGTTCAAAGCCAGCCTCAGCAATTGTGAGACTCTAAGCAACTAAAACTCAGTTAGACTCTGTCTCTAAATAAAATACAAAATAGTGTGAGGATGTGGCTCAGTGGTCGAGTGCCCCTGAATTCAATCCCAGGTACCAATAAAAAAAAGAAAGAAACAATTCTGATTCCTAAACATAACTGAAGATTAGAATAGCACAAACGGGACATCCTACAAGATTTTGTTTCTGCAGGTCTGGAGTAGGTCTGGAATTTATCTTCTCTCTAGTTTTTAAGGTTCCCTACATGATTGTGATGCTTTGCCAGACTTGCAACTACTCAGGTGCAGGTTCAAATGTGAGGGGGTTGACTTTCCAATCTGTCTTACTTATATTTTGGATAAAATTTTCAGTTTATCTTTGCAGCCTAACAGAAGTCTTTCTGAGTCTAGAACCTGACATTCTGGCTTAATCAGCAAATTTGACAGGACTCCTTTCTGTGTCTTCTTACAAGTTGTTAACAAAAAATGATGACCAGAGGGTTGGGGTTGTAGCTTAGTGATATAGAGCACTTGCCTGGCACATGAGAGGCCCAATTCTGAGGCAGGTTAACCAACCAAGCTTGGCTTTATCTGATAGATCACCTACTTCTCTTTTCTTTACCTTGTTCCTAAGAATATCAATCATTCATTATATTCAAAAAACATACTCATTTTATTGTGTTTTTTCTAAGATAAAAATTAGTGTTACTGCCTTGCCTTCAACAATTTATCTATTGCTTATTGCTTAAGTGGAACTTGTTTTGGTTTTGGTGGTGGTAGGGATTGAACCCAAGGCTTCAAGCATTCCAGGTAATTCTACCACTGAGCTACATCCCCAACCCAGAAAGTGGATTCTAAATTGTGTTCCATAGAGAGCTGTGGGTCTCCTAAGCTGTTTCAAGGACCACTCATGTTGCCCACTTACTGTGGATAGGCGGTTTGCTAAGAGTTTTGCATGCATCATCTCAGTTAATCCTTATAGCAGCCTCTGAAGCAGGTAGTGTGGATGAGGAAACACTCAGAAAAGATAAGCCCTTCTTCCAGGTTCACACCAAGCCCGAAGCAACCCATCTGCGTCTCTCAGGGCAACTAGATCTGAAGGGAATCTGCTTCCTAGCTGTCTTCCCTAATACTAGACCATCACATTGCTGGACTGTTTACTCAAAATACATTTTTGAAAATTGTTTTTTGGGAGGTTGCTTGGAGAGGGGTAGCAGGGATAGTAGAAATCTATCATTCTTTTATAAGTCTCAAACATAAATTGTGGCTTATCACAAATTATCCAAACTATATTGTTGTTAGTTGATGAATAGTAGCGATTTGCATAGGTATAACAGCATTTTCAGTAATTACCAATCAACACCATATAAGAGGGGGAATGACTAATATTATTGGCTCCCTTTTACAGATGTGGAAATCAAGACACAGAGCAACTTAGTAAGTTGGTTTAAAGTCATTCAATTAACTTTAGAGCAGGAAAGAGAATTCAGCAACATAAGAACCCAAGAAGTTTTTGTTTGTTTTATAATTTACTGTCATGGGGAAAAGTTTTATTTTGTTTTGCTTTTTCCTTGGAGTAACTGTAATGAGTTCCCCTTTCTGATTTGAAAGTAATTTACTGTGTTTCTCTTTTTGCCCTCAAACTGGCTACCCAGCCAGTAACTGCAGCTCTGTTATTCTTCATAACCAGCATGCTTGCCTTTTCCTCTTCTGATAATCTGGTGCTATTGTCTTAACTTTCACCTCTACTTCCCTTTGTTGGACCCCACCCCAAGTCTCTCCTTGAAGAAGCAGCCTATGAAAGAATGAGGGAGTGAAAGGCCAGTAGCCAGAATCTTGAGTATCTTAAAAGTGCTGTGTCTTTTCAATTTAAAATAATTCATTTCACATTTCAAGACATCATATAGAACTTATAGGGCTACCCCAAAAATCTCTAATTTAGCCAGTGAACTTAAGGAAACTGACAGAATATCAAAGTCTTATAAGCATGGTAGACACAGAGGAAAGGAACACTCCCACATTCCGTGATTTATACCCTCTCTGGTTTCATCCTCTTCACAGCTCTGTAAGGTAGGGATGTACAGATGGGGACAGTGAGGCTCAAAGTGCTTTAGTAACTCACTCAGGATTCAAAGCCAGCCTGAGGTGGAATCAGGAATAGGACCTAGGACAAAGTTCAGACCTAAGGCTTTTTTCCGACTAGACCTGGTCTCCAAGTCAAAACAACCTGAAAGGTTTCCCAAGCAATTATGAGGCCAACTTGTGACTCATACATTTGATGCAGGAAACAATCAGACGCTAAATGTGTAAAATAAGCTATAGACTCTGCCTCCCTTTCCTTGGAAGGCTACAATCAAATGAGCAGGGGAAATAGTTCAATTAACTTTCTTTGTGTAATATTAGCATGATTTTGACATTAAGAACAAACCAAAATCAAGAGCTGGGGATGTAGCTCACTGGTGGAGCCCTTGCTTAGCATATTTCAGGCCCTGGGTTTGATCCCAAGCACAGCAAAAACCAAAAACATCAAAAACCTTTCTTCCAGAAATAAAAGAATCTTGATGGCCAGATATGTAGGGATACAGGCAGGAGTTAGTGACCCGCTTGGCTCCTGCCTGCTTGCTTGCATCGCTCTGCATTTGCTCTATATCCCAGTTTCCTACCTTTCTCACAATAGGGCTCTCCATCTTCCATGTGGAAGAGGCTGTTCCCAAAAGGCTTCTTGCAGGCTGCACAGACAAAGCAGGTGGTGTGCCATGTCTGCCTCAGGGCATGCATCACTTCCTGGGGGGAAAATATTGACTCAGGATGGAAAGTTCCAGGGGAGAAATGAAACCAGGCTTAACTTTATCACCAGGTCCCAGCCACTGACTAAGCAGCCATTAGGGAACAGGGCAGAAGAGCCCGGAAGCAGGCCTTGGATACACCAAGGGTAGGCAGAGGAGGGAATTCCTAGTATCCAATGCTTGCTGGGTTCCACGTTCTACGTACTGTTATATAAGCTGTGATGCTTAATCTTCCCATAAGCCTGGGAGGGAGGTCCTACTTATTACTGCCACTTTACCATAGGGGCATCAAGGGTCAAGGCCACATGCAGGTGAGCTGGCAAGGCTGGGCTATGAAGCAACAACTTGCTTGGCCAAAGTTCCCCCATCACTTCAAGCTGTGTGGCACAGACATATAATCATCTCTTGTTTCAAATTCATTTGCTCCCTGGTTCACTGGTGGCAAACCAACTCCCTTTGAGGACAGAAATGGAGTTGTTTTCTCTCTATTAGCAGCAACTTCTTGGCTTCTAATGGGACTTCACTATCTTAGGGAAGGGAGAGGAGGTTGATCAGGGCTGCAGAAAAGACAAGTCAGAGGAGAAGAATGTAGTCCACTTACCCCCATGATTTTGGTGTTGCACTTGGCACAGAGTGGGGCAAAGAACTGCTCATAACACCGCTCACAGTAAACATTGTTCTGCTCCTCCACAAAGCACACATCTGCCAAGGAGGTCTTGCAGTAGGCACAGTTGAACTCTTCCGGGTGCCAGGAGCGGCCCATGGCTACCAGAAAAGGACCCCTGGGGAGGCAGAGAACAGCACCTAATAGAAACCCTCAAAATTTGGAACAAATATTTCAAGAACCCCAACAATCTTCATATATTTAGCCCATAAATCCCACTTTTGTGGCTGTTCTAATGAAATAATACAAAATTCAGAGAAAGCTCTATGCAGAAAGGTGTTCATTGTCCCATCACTTACCATAAAGAGAAACTACCATAGGGAACTGGGTAAGCACATGACAGAATTCAGTTGAACACAGTAATTATAAGAAAAACAATGATGCTGCTATTGATGGCTAAGATTTATTAAGTACTCTGTGCCAGACACTATACAAGAATAATTTTGTATTTATTAACTTATAATCTTTAATCCTGTAAAGTAGGAACTATTATGAAGCCTATTTGGGGGAAGGAAACTGAGGCACAGAGAGGTTAAGTAATGCATTCAAGGCTGCAGGGCCAGGAAGTGGTAGACCCAGGACACAAAATGACAGTCTAGTTCCAGATTAGTAGTCAGAACACTGGGACTATAAGGAAATTTTTTTTATGTTCTATTTTTCCTTTTCCATGTTTTATAATTATTCTCTACCAAGTATATGATACTTTATTTTTAAATAAGAGGGTTGAGTGTGTGGTTTAATGGTAGCACAAGGCTCTGGGTTCAATCCCAAGCACACACACACACACACACGCACACACACAGATAGATATATATATTTATATATATATATATATATATATACACACATACATACATACTATATACAAACATATAAGAGCGTATTTTTCATATATGCAAGCTCAGATCACAAACATATTAACATAATATGTTCAAACAAGCATCATCTGTGACCCCAGGCTTTTAAGCCTGAAGTGATTTGATTTCATTTCAGTCAAGTGCCCACCTATGCCCTGAGCAATACAGGCCTATCTGTGGCAAGACCCAGAAGCAACCCCAAAGAAAAGCTAGGTCAAAACCAGCACTGTCAGCCAGCTTGCAACATGCCCAATAAACCTACTGACAACAAGACTGGCAATTCCCAGGACCCGGCCTTAGCCCAAGGGGAAGCTCCTGGCACCAGACACCAAGCTGGGAGCTTCACCCACTTACCTCATGGAATCCTCCCAACTCCCCAGGGATGTGGGTGTCACACAGGTATGGAAGCTGAAGCTCAGAGAGAGTCAGACCAGTTGGTGGGCCAGAGGGTTAGAAGGCTGCCCTGCAGTGTAGCTAGCTTTTGTCTGTCCTACACCTGTCCTCCCATCCCCCTCACTGCGTGGCTTAGATCATGGATAAGCACCTATGTGCCCACCCTTCCAGCACCACAGTGGACCATACCTGATGACGTTGTTGCAGTGGCCACACAGTGGAGTTCGGCTGCTGGCTGGGAAGCGCTCAGCTCTCTGGACGGTACCTCTGGCAAGGGGGGTCATCTGAGGACCTGTCGGAGTATATGCTGGGGCGCCCCGGGGCAGGGTCTGCTTGCTAATAGACGTGGTGCTCTTGCCAGGGGCAAACTTCTGAGAGAAGTTGTCATCTGTCACCCAGGGGGGACGGCTGGCAGACTCTGCTGGGCCCCCACTATAGGCCGCTGAGGGTGTGGGGTTATAGTTTGGGGCAGGTGAAGGGGTATAGGCTGGAGCAGGAGAGGGGGAATAGGTGGGAGCAGGTGAAGGGGTGTAAGTAGGGGCAGGTGAAGGGGTATAGGCTGGGGTAGGAGAGGGGGTGTAGGGAGTTGGAGTGTAATTGGCCCCTGGGGATGGGCTGTAGGTAGATGCAGGCACTGCAAACCAAAAATACCAAAAGAAAAATGTGTCAGGTGTTTCTTTCCCCTTCTTCTCCTGCTCCCCCAGCCAGAGAACTGAAAAAGGTGACTTTAATATTAGAACAGTACAGTGTTTTATGGAAAATATGTTCCTGAACTTCTTGATGCCCCAGATTTTAATTCTCAGCAAAGGATCCCAGGGAAATAAAGAGTGAGCAAACGCAGCAGAGCCCTGGGGAGCTTAGGGCTGGGAAAGGATGTAACTATAAATAGTTGCAGCTGTGCAGGGTGGGGCTCCACCACAGCTTGGCTGCCTGAGCCCCACTGAAGGTGGGGAGTAGGGGTAGAGGGTACCTGGGCCAAGACAAGGGTGGGAGTGTGTCAGTTCAGCCTGGACTTGGGAATGCTCTCAGTTGCAACCAATGATTTGACTCCAGCATGTGTTTCAACCAGCATGCTTGGTGTACCTGGATCTAGTCCAGCCTTCCTAGCAAAGCAGATGACCCAGCAACTGGGTTTTCAAGTTCAGGTTTCAGGTTTAGCTACAAAATCACTTTCTTTGAAAAACAGCCTAGCTTGATTTGTATTGGGGAGGGGGGTTCCATTTTGGTTTGATGGAAGTCTTAAAGGAGTCACTAAGAGTCAGCCTAAGCAGACAATTTTGGTATGATGCATGCAGCCCAGGTCTAGCTGCTCACTTGGACCTGGCTTCCCCACATCACTTTGGTGCAAACTAAGAGCATTTGAGTGATACCCTAGTAGTTACCAAGGAAATTTGAGCATGGGGAAGAGAATGTGCTGTCCTACTTTTGGAATCCTCTCCTGACACTAACTGAGGGCGGAAACACTGCAGGGGCACTGCAGCTGCTTATCAAAAGCCCTCTCACCCTGAGCTCTCAAGCCCCAACTTTCTGCTGCCTTGTGCTATGGGGCCAGCCAGGGTAGACCTAGCTGTGTCCTGTGCTAGGTCCAACTGGCCTCTTCTTCTGGCAAGGGAGGTTCCCAAAACCTCACCTCTGCCCAGTCTGCTACTCTGGAAAGCAGCTTCATTCCCCCAATCCCAGGAAACATGTCAGGGCAGCCTCCCTCTTCATTCCTGAGCTGAACCTGAATTGGGATAAACTGTGCTTAGGAAGCACCCACTGGGTCCCAGCTGGGCTTGAGACCCTGTTCCTATCTCTGGTCTCTCTTTCTCAACTGGTGCCCTGGGGCTATCTTGTGTAACCTGTGGCCTTTTCAACTTTGCCCCTTCTATTCCCAGATGACTGGCCCTTCAGAGCTAAGAAACCTGGAAAATGCACATACTATCCTTGCTGGGGGTGGGTAGGGACCATGCTTGTGATAATGGAGTATGAAGGGCCTGCCTAGAGACATACTGAGATTGATGTGGGCTTCCAATGGAAGAAGCTTCTCCATACAGAACCTTCCTCCCACTTACAAAGGGGCTGGATTAGGCATATAGCACAGAGTGGGAGTGAATCCTTAAATTATCCCCCTTTACACTTAAAGTCAGTAGGACTCAAGCAGAGTAAGTGGCAGCATGCAACTCTAAAATCTTTCTTTCTATACCTCAAGCTGCCTCTATAAAGAATACAAGTCTAATTTCCAGAAAATCTTAGTGTGCCATATCACTGTGGAATCACTCCCAATGTGGAGGAGACCCCATGCTCTGGCACATAGCACAGCTATGAAGATCCTGGCTTCAGGCTAGGGGTATAGCTCAGTGGTAGAGCTCTTATCAATCATGAGTGATTCCCAGCACCACCAAAAGGAGGAGAAAAAAAAAAGCATCCTGGCTTCATGTCCTAGCTCTACTATTTCCTGACTGTGCATCTTTGGGCAAGTTCTTCCAACTTCTCTGGGCCTCAGTTTCCTCATCTAAAAACAATAATAATGGCTGGATGCAATGGTGCATGCCTGTGATCCCCAGCTACCTGGGAGACTGAGGAAGGAGGATCATGAGTTCAGGCCAACCTGGGCAACTGAGTGAGACCCTTTCTCAAAATAAAATAAAATGCATTGGAGATGTGGCTCAGTGGTAGAGTGCCCCTGGTTCAATCCCCAGTTCCACACCAAGAAAAAAAAAAGTAATAATTCTTAGTACTTCACAGGATTATTATGAGGTTTAAGAGAAAATAAGAAACAAAGTGTCCAACCTGCTGGCAGTGTGTGTGTGTGTTACTAAATATGAGGATGGTAAGGTGGTGGTCTCTTGGTGTTAGGGTTAGGAGGTATTGCCAGTTTATCTTGTAGCCTGGTGGTCACCTGGAAAGTCCAGCCCACGTAGACTATAGGATGGAGGAGGGAAGGGAGATGTGACATTCTGCAGTCAGTCAGATAACCTGGAACTAAGCCTATTCACTGGTGGTGGAATTTATGTTACCCCTGCCACCAAGGTATGGTGGTAACCTACAAGAGTAACATAATGCATACATTTTGTAAAGCCCAAATTCAAGGTATTGTTACCTTCCCCAACTTTGCATAGCTCCCTAGTACCTGGAGAAGAGGATCTCAAAATACCAGAAGCAAGGGTGACTTGGAGAATAATACCAAGGAAGTAAAGCGGAGAGAGGTAATCTGGTCCTGTTTATTTATTTATTTATTTGTACCAGGGATTGAACTCAGGGGGCACTTGGGCACTGAGCTACATCCCCAGCCCTATTTTGTGTTTTATTTAGACACAGGGTCTCACGGACTTGCTTAGTGCCTCGCCATTGCTGAGGCTGGCTTTGAACTCACAATCCTCCTGTCTCAGCCTCCTGAGCCACTGGGATTACAGGCCTGAGCCACCATGCCTGGCTGGCCCTGTTGGCCCTGTTTTATATAATGAGATTCTGTGTAAGATTTCTCTCTTGTTCTCTCCCTCTTTTTTTTTTTTTTTTTTTTTTTTTTGGTAAAGTGCTGTTCTCTGCTAAAAAGGATTAAAGAACAAAAGCCCTAATCCTGTGCTGTCCAACCCATAGACTTTTGTGGACTCTGAGCCTCTGAAATGGGGTTATCCAAATTGGAAGTGCTAGTATGGTACAAGATTTTTGAACTCAGTAAAAGAATAGATACTTTATAAAGTATCTCATTAATAATGATTTTATACTGAATATATGCTGGAATTTTGTTCTATTTTGTTTCTTAGCCACGGTCTTGCTATGTTGCCCAGCCAGCCTAGAACTGGGTTCAAATGATCCTCCTGCCTTAGCCTCCAGAGTAGCTGGACTACAAGCAAGCACCAATATGCCCAACTGTGAGAAATTCTGAATGTAGTGTTAAATAAAACATATTTAAACTATTTTCACCTGCTTTCTTTTACTTTTTATAATTCATTGCAGTACTGTCTCTAATATTCAAGGGCACTAGCTTTACATTGACTAATGTGATCAAACATTGGAAGATTTAGCTCCCAAGGATACTGTCTAGAATTTTTTTTTTTTTTTTGTACTGGGGATTAAACACAGAATTCAAGCATTCTAGGGAAGGGCTCTACAACTGAGCTATAGCCTCAGTCCCCTGCTTTTTTTTACTTGAAAAAAAATATATTTCTATATAGATATAGGTATCTATATAGATGTAGATATAGATATATGCTTATCAAAAAATTTCTTCCTCTTGTATGGTGCTGTCCTAATCAAAAATACTGGCTACTAAATACTGATGGCTTCCACATGCCAGGCCCTTTGAGTATGTTATTTCATGTAATGCCTCATGCAACGCAAGAAGCAGATAGTATTTGCATGTCCATTTTACAGATGAGGAATTGAGGCTTGGAGAGCTTAAGAGAAGGCCTAAAGGTCATCCAACTAGCGAGTTGCCTAGCTGAAACTGGAGCTCTGGCAGCCCTACCCCGCTGCAGATTCCCGCTTAACCACTCCCTACAAAGCAAAACATGCTTTAGTACACCCTTTCCAAGTTAAGTCCAGCCCTCCCTTCAGCAATTCTAACCCTATTCCCTGTGCCTGGCGGAGACATTCTCTTCCTCGCACGGGAAGGCCTTCCAGATTCCTAGAACCGCCCCCCCCCGCCCCCAACCTCCTTTCTAAAACCTTACAACAGAGGGAGGTTAAAATCGAGACCTACTTCCTTCACCAAGGCTGCCCTGAACCAGGGAAGGGCCCTTCCTCTCAGTGGTGGCTTGGCTCATCAGCTCCCCTCCCCCATCGGGTCCCCTATTCGCTGGGACCAGGGGGTTCCTCGTGGCCTGCCTCGCCTCGCCACCCCCGACATGCCAGGAGGGACTCCAAATCTCAACTCGGAACCCCGGGGCTGTTGCTATTTTTGCGTGAGGGAATTGAGCCCGTCCAAATTAGAAGGTGATATTTCATCTCTAATTGGCAAGTTCAAAAGGCCCCTATCGCACTCGGCGGCCTGGGGACTATGTAATTAAACAAGGTGTTTTCTGAGTCACTCCGGGCCGGCCCGGCTCTCCGCAAGCGACCGGTTGCCGCCCGGCCCGCGGGCCCATGTGGCTGTCCCCTGGCCCGCGGTCCCATTCGCCCACGGCGAGGCCGGTCCGGTTCCCGCGCCGCCGCCGCCCCCGCCCCTCCCAGTCCCCAGGTGTTCTTGGGAGCGGACGCCGAGCCTCGGCGCCAGCGATAAGATCCGGGCTGCGAACGCCGCCCTCGGCCGGGAGGAGGCTCCGCGGGGAGCTACGGCGGGGACTCGGCCGCGCGCTGCGGGCCGCGCGGGCACACACTCCCGGCTTCGCCTTGGGCCGCCTGCCAGCCGCCCCCGGAACGCTCTCGGCGGCCGGCCTCCCCAGGAGAGGGAGGTGGGAGAAAGCCGTCTTCTCCCCTCCAGGCAGGAATGAGTTAACGTCTGCACCGCCTAGAAACGGCGCGGAGGCCCGCGGCTCCGGCACGTCTAGCCTGCCTGGGCCCCAGCCCGGGAGGGCGCTGCAAAGGGACGCGGGGCGGACCCGCCAGTGCTCGCTCCCGGAGCCCGGCCGCCCCCTGGTGGGACTGCGGGGTACAGCCAGCGGCTGGGACTGGGGAGCTACAGCGCGGGGCCGCCCCGGAAGGTGCCAGAAGAGCCTGCCCAGGGCCCCACGGAAATGCACTCCTTGCACCAGCACAGGGCCTCACCTCCACCCTCCGATTCCCATCCAAACTGCTTTCCAAGTTCCCTCCATGGTTCCCAACCTGCTGAGGGTCAGCCACTTCTGCCCACTTCGAGATTTTTCTCCCTTTCAGCCCAGTCTAAAATGTCCCTTCATCCAGTGATGTTTTAACTTAGGTGTTTTCTGTCCCTCTGTCAGGTACCGTGCGAGGGGCGGCATTTCATTCCTAAAACACGAGGTGTACTAGTGTCACTACCAATAATCAAATGAAAAAGTTTAGGCCTGAGAGAGGAGGTAGTTTGCTCGCAGTAGGAAAACCGATAGAGATGTCTACCAGAGTAGGATGCTAAAGCGCATCCACGCCCATACCCAACACTGCTGTCTGAGGAAGCTCTGTTTTAACTGAGAGCTGAGCCTGCCATCTCTGCCCCACGCACCAAATTCAAGCTATTCCAAGCAAGACCTTGCTTACCTCCCAGCCTTACCTCCTTTATGCTCCAGTCTCAGAGAAAAATTCACTGGGATGGGGTCTCTTGTGCCTTACTGGGATGTACTTCTGAGTCTAGACTGTGGGTACTCTTCTTTACCCTATGGCTGCTTTGTCAATTCACTCTGTCAATTCACACTCTTTTATGACACACAGAAAACGTTCTCTGTCTTCCTTCCCTCTGCTTCAGAATGACCTATTCTCATTCTTTCCAAAACAAGTCCTTAATTTCTTCCCTTCATCAGTTTGCCATGTGCAAAAATGGTGTGTGTGTGTCAGGTAGCGGAGATCCACCCACATTAAGGGGGAAGCTGCTCATGTGTTGGGGCAGGTGGTAATGTGGGAAATCTCAGTACCTTCAATTTTTCAATAAACTTAAAACTAAGAAAAAGTCTATCAAAAAATCATACATGTATAATTTTGAGGAGAGAGAAATGTTTGCATTGTTTTTTCTCTTTTTTTTCAAGTTTCAAGTTCCTTCTTTTTTTTGCATTGTTATTGTAAATGCAAAATCATTACTGCTTTTCATAAATTCAAGATGAGTATAAAGATAAATGTTGAAAACATAATGTTTTAAGAGGACAGTGTGTGCTCACCTAAAATTCTGTCTCACCCATCTGTAAAATGGGCACCAAGGGATCACTCTGGGAACACCTGGGACCCTTGCACTGTGTACACAGCTGCTGAAGTACAGAATACAAGCTCACAACCTCTTTGCTGTCCACTGCTTGTGTCTTCCTTTCCAGTGTACGTGAATTTATTTGTTCCTTCATTTTCTATGCCATTACTGAGCATCTCCACTGTGCCCTGCCTAACTCAGGGGCATGTAAGGGAGAAAAATCCCTCTTCCCTGCCCTCCTGGAGTTCAGAGTCTGAATCCAACAGGAAGGAGGGGATGGTGACTAAACTCAGAGCCTGGATGCTGGCAGCACATCCTATACACCAGGGAACAAGGGACATCCCTTCGCCCTGAGAAGAGACCTTAGGTCCTTTGAGCAAGGGTTGGTCTTTGCACTTCTGATTCCTTGAGTCCTTGTCCAAGCTGGACAACCTCCCCTCCCACTCTGCCTCTCACCTGGTTGGTAGACAGAAGGCCGGATGCTGGCAGTGGTGACAACTCGGGGCTTGGGTGCAGGGGCAGCTGGACCCTCACTGTAGCTCGTATGGGCAGTTGGTGCTGGAGAGGTAGCTGCTGCAGGGCTGCAGGTAGAGGCCTGGGGTCTGGAACCAAGAGGGGAAGTGTTATAGCAAGAAGGACAGTCCTATCTGGGTCCTGGAGCCTGGGGCCTGCAGCCATAGCAGGTTGGTTCCTTGATCTTTAGGATCCTCTATGAGGAGGAAAACCGATAGAGATGTCTACCAGAGGCTGTGAAAGAAAAGCCAGGGGAATCTTAAAGGGGAGAAAACTGCTCCCTGTAGCTAGTGCTACTGTCTTTGGAGAGAGGGAGAAAGCCATCAACTAGACCAGAGGACACTTGGAAAACCTTCACCTCCCTGGGGCCTCTGACCACCTGGCCTCCTCTTTTACTCTTTTCCGTTTTTGCTGCAGGGAGCAATAGTCTCAGGTTTTTAAACAATAATGCTCCAGCAAGTGCTCTAAGAGGCCCCCAGCAACTCCCCCCAGCAAACATTCCATTTCCATACAGAATTCCTGTTGTCTCCTCCCACTGGGTTAGCTAGCTGTCAGTAGGCCTAGAGCAGCCTCTTCCCACATGCAGCCCAGGAGCTGTGGAACCAAAAAAAGTGTCCTAGTTCACTGCTATCAGAAACAGATGTTCTTGTCCTCTCCTCTTGGAGAGTTGAAGGCTTTGAGAACTGCCAGAGTTTAGTGCTTGTTGAACTTTGATCCAATGGTTCCCAGCTTCATTTGTTTGTTAAGAACTTTTTCTTCATTTAAAATTAATGAACATCTTGCTCTCTGCATGTGTCTTACAGATCCTAAAGGGGACAGGTGAACACACCCATTGCCAATGGGTCTTTGGTGAGGGTACTGGAGAAGAGAGACCCTGGAAGTATATCCCCCACCCCAGCTTATAGCTTCCTGCATTTCTTCCATCTGTTCCCCTTGGGCCCAGGGCCTACCCATTTTTGCTTGGCAGAATTGTAAGATGAGGGAGTGCCCTAGGATAAGAACCTTCTACCAAGCTCCTTAGTAGATCCAGGAGAACCTGTGGGGCTGCCCCCAGATAAGGCAAATGTAAAAGGATGTTCAGAGAGCCAGCATCCCAGACTTGGGGGCTATTCACACTTTCCCTGTCACCATGCCAAGTTTCTGATAGATTGAGGCCATTGTCTCCTTTCCCTGGCCTGCCTACCCTTCTGTGAACAGATCTCTGTGCCAAGACCAGCAAAGTAGGGGCCTCATCTGCAAGAGGAAGAGATGGTTTTAAAGGAGTTCTCAGCTTCCACTGTGGTTGGACAAGGCCACAGGTCAGTGGTTATGAACCAGACTCTCCCACAGTGGTAGACACTTTGCCAGCATCCCAGGAGCTACAGGTTCTATGTCAGGGACTGGGGTGGATAGAGGAAACAGAAGCTGAGAACTCCAAAGCCAGGCTCTGATGAAAGGGCTCCTTCTAGTTCTAGCTTCTTCTAGTCCATGTGCAAGGAGGGAAGTTAACTGGGCTCAGAATATAACATCATGACCTCTCTGCTCTAAGTTCTACCCAGGTCCTAGCTCTCCTGGCAAGACAAAAGGAAGGAAGGATTCACCCTGCTGCGGGTGTCCCAAGGGTTTCAGGTGCTCTGTGGTGGGCGAGTCGGGGACACAGAGGCCTGGAACCTGGTGCTGGAGCTTGCCCTTTGGCAGGGGCAGGATATAAAACTGGATTGCCCCTGGGCTCCAGCATCTAGTACTCCTCCATCCAAATTGGGTGGCTTCTTCCCACTCAACAACAGGGATATTTCTTACTTCAAAATTTCTTTGTGTAGGTAGCAAGGCCTTTATGCAAAGAAATTCTGGCTTGGAGAGGGGAAGTGGGTTGCTAACCGTTCTCCAGGAAACTGGGATAAAACCACCCCAGAAGCCCTGGCCCAGGCTCACTCCTAAGGCTTGAGACGGGCTGGGAAAAAGCTGGGCTTGGTATTGTGAAGCCTGGGGTAGGGACAGCAGACAGGCCTGTGGGTCACTTCACATCCTAAGGCTGCACCATGGACTTTTACACTCTGACCCAGGGAGGCATGTACTCCTCAACAAAACCCCGGGGCAGGGGCCCATGGAAAACTAGGAGAGCTGGGGTCTTAACTCCAAACACCAACTGCACAGCTCCAGGAACTCCCAAAAGAGAGCTGGGCTAACCCCTGCTGTTGCACTCACTGTTGGCTCCAGAGTAACTTGTCCATCCCACCTCTTCTGCCTCCCTGAAACCCCCTGCTTTGGTTTCTGCTTGCTGGGTATCCAGGAGGGCAGGTTGGGGTGGAGGAACTTGAAGTACTTGTATCCTTTTTATGTGCTAGGTGTTTCATATACACTTTTTCCATCACGACCCCATAAATACATGTGTTGTTTTGAACTGTTTTTTTTTTTTTTTGTACTAGGGAATGAACCTGGTGTGTGTGTGTGTGTGTGTGTATGGGGGATGTTTAACTGAGCCACATTCCAGCCCTTTTCTTCTAATGTTTTTGAGACAAGTTCTTGCTAAGTTGCTGAGGGTCTCACTAAAATGATTGTAATCAAACTTATGATCCTCCTGCCTCATCCTCCCCAGTCACTGGGATTACAGGTGTGCACCACTATGTTTGGCTTATTTTAAACATCTTTACAGATAAGGATAATGAAGTTCAGAAAAGTTCAGTCACTTTCTCAAGGTTACAGACAGAAGGTAGTGGAGCAGAAATGTAAGTCCTACTACATACATCAGGTGTCTCTGAAGTTAACATGCTTCTCTATCAAGAGAAGAGAGGGGAGGGGATGTGGGCAAATAGCAGCTTACATATTTGGTCAAATCTGACTTGCTTTCTGTATCCAGCTCAATGTTCCCTCCTCCAGGGAGCCTCCCTTAATCTCCCCAGCCCTTTGGAACAACTTTCATTCTTCATTAGCTGAGTTCCAGGAACAAGGACTTTTTTTTTTTTTTTTTTTGTACTGGGGATTGAACCCAGAGGTGCTTTACAACTGAGCCACATCCCCAGCACTTTGTTTTTTATTTTGAGACAGGGTCTGACTAAGTTGCTTAGGGCCTCACTAAGTCACTGAGATTGGCCTTAAATTTGTGATTCTTCTACCCCAGCCTCCTGAGTCACTGGGATTACAGGCATGTGCCACTACCCAGCAACAAGGACCATTTATACAGTTCACTTCGTCATCTCTGTGTGTGCACACTTTTGTTGGTGCGTGAGACTTTTTACCTTTGTGACTAGAGATGAATTCCGGGATGGCAGGGCAGTGTTCCTGCCTCTCTTCTTAGCCACAGGTGGAACAGACCCCTGAAAAGCACCCCAGCTTCCCCCTTCATATTCTGTACCATACAGTGTTGGCTTTCTTGGGAGACCCCAGGGCCCTAAACACCATGGATCCCAATGCCCACAGATGTATCCAGGGTGGGGCCTTTCCTCCTGCCCTTTCTCTTCGTCAGGGCAACACCTGTGGGCTGGTTACCTTGGACTGTCCGCAGGGATCGAGGCAGGGGCTGCAGCAGAGGCGGTGGCAGCATGGGCAGTAGCTGTGGCCAGGGGTGGCGAGGCTGCCCTAGGAGAGGCGGCAGCAGGCGGCTGGGCAGAAGCGGGCAGCAGCGGGGTGGAGGCCTGGCTGGTGCACACTGGAGCATGCTCAATAGGGGTGCTGATGAGGCGGGACCAAAAAGATAACAAGTCAAGGGGGCCCCAGACCCTGGGGGGCGGGCTCTGCATGGGGACAGGTGGGTACAGCTGCAACAGGTGGATAGAAAGCGACATCAGTACTGCAAATAGAGCAGGATCCTCCAGGGGGTGCATCTTCCAGGTGTAGGGAAAGAACTCCTCTGGGATCCTGGGAGGAGAGGCTCAGACCACGGTAGGGCCTGGTAACATCAAAAACATTCTCAATCCTGGAGGAAAAAACTCCCCCCAAGTTTTTGTGCTTCCTAACTTTCTTTCTCAGCAAAACACAATGTAGTGGAAAAATAGATTTGATTATCAACAAGCTTCTTCTCCCTTATTGTTTTCCTTTCCCTTTAGTTCATCATTTAGTCAGGGGCATGCATTACCTTCAGAGAGGGATGATACATACACACACACACACACACACACACACCAAAAAAAGCAGAAGTAAGATATGTGGGTGTCAAGGCCTTAAGCTCTAGAGTTGTGAGAAGCTGTTCTTCAGGCTCTGAAAGATTCAGGGCACTGACAATACATTTGCAAAATGGATAAAAGGTATCATGCTGGGCAGATCAAGGTTATCTGGACCAGAAGTGGGATAACGTGGATTCAAAGATGGAGGTAACTGTGCCCTTTTAGGAGTGGCAGAACTTCTGGTAAGGGGACAGGTAGACACCAGAAAGCTCAAAGATCTTCATGCCACTGTGTAATCTAGATACTTAAGTAGATTTCCCACACACCTAAGAAAGACATGGGCCTAGGCCTGAGCACCTGAGTTATAAAGTAGATCTGAAAGGCCTTATAATTTGGAACAAGAGAGGTGACCACTCTGCCAGTGTGGACCAGTGTGGCCACATAGGATGGGAATATTCTTCAGTCAGTACAGATAGACCAGATGCCCAGATGTCTCAACTCTGAATGCCTGGGCATCATGTAAATAACTCTTTTCCAGAACCACTCCAGGAAGAAGAGAACAGTCTGAGCCTGGATTTATGGCATTAGATTTCTGCTACCTGTGAAATGAGGTGAAGAATAAAATTAAATTACAGGAAAGAAAAGAAAAAAAAATTTTTTTTGAGACAGGGTCTCAGTGTGTTGCCCAGACCTGTCTAGGATGGTTGGGCTCAAATGATTCTCCTGCCTCAGCCTCACAGATAGCAGGAACTACAGGTGTGTGCAAATACACTCAGCTCATTCTTTGTTCTTTGATTGGCATTTGTATTTTTAACAACAGTGATAAAAAAAAATGCAAATCTTATAAGTAGGAATAACTCCACCCCCCATGTTACTTGTTGATTGACCTACTATGTGTCAAGCATTATGTCTTTAATTCCTCATAACACCCATCTGATCAACTCTATTTAGTAGATGAGGAAATGAAAACAGAGTATTTAATTGCTCAGGGCTCTGAAGCTTACCCTTAGGGACAAAACGATTGAGGGTCATTTTGATTTGAAAACTTAAGCAGAACCTCATGGAGGAAGAAAAGAAAACTCTTCTTGTAATCAGCCGAGTGGAATCTCTCTACAATAAAAGACACTATTATTGTTGGTAATAATTGGAATGAAAGTACTACGCTCTACTGAGTTCTTCCCATAGCATAAGCTTTATCCCATTATTTGTTTTATCCTTTCAATCATCATAATGTATGATGGGTTTGGTGAGTGTCAATTTACAGATGAGGAGTCTGAAATCTGGAGAGATTGTATCTCTGGTAAAACATCACACAGTTGTCAAGTGGCAGAGAAGGGCTTGAGCCCTAATCACTATATTTCTCACACTTTAAATGCACATGAATCACCTGGGGAATTTTTGTTAAAATGCAGCTTCTGGTTGAGCGGGTCTAGAATGGGGCTGAGTTTACATTTCTAACAAGCTCCCCAGGGATGCTGATGTTACTGGCCCATGGACCACACTTGGAGTAGCAAAGTGCTAGAGAAGTTTGCCCTAGCAAGGAATGCAAGAAGGCCCGATGCTCTTTACCAAAGCATCACCCAATTGCTCTACTTCATCTGGTGAGGTATATGAAAGAAAAGAGTATGAAACAGAGTGAAAAGACCAGGGAGGCACAGAAATGGAGAAGCAGCAAAGTTGTGGGTTGACTGCCCCATGAGAAGGAGCCATTTTTCTCAAAAGCTTCATGGAAGGTATCTGGGATGGGCAAGGACATTGGCCATAGTCTGCCTGGGGCCTTCCCCAGGCAGACCTATAGCAGTGCCTGCCCCTGGCCCTGCAGTGAGGCCACTTGCCCAATCTCTGTGAAAAAATCTTGCTTCTGGAAGCATGCATGTTATGTGACTGCCTCAGAGAAGAAGCTGCAGGCTTTGAAGTCACATAGCTGAGCTGGTTGCTCAGTCTGACCTTACAGGATGAACAGGTTGGGAAGGTCAGAGCTGACATAGGACCTGAGACTCCTTGATTTGCCCCACCCCACACTTCCAATGAACTTCTGGGAATTGAGGACACTATATAGGATAAGAACAAGGAAAATGTCCAGCATGGGCAAATAAAAAGCTGGATTTGCCTATCCCCTTTGTTCCAATTTGCTGTTAGACCACTTTACCTGCAGCTCTCCCCAACCATAGCTCCAAATGAACCCTGTGTTGTAGGGGATAAAGTTGGAACTGAATGTGGACCTTATGAAAACTCATCATTGATCAGCTGATGGGGCACCATTTACATAGATCATAGTGTCAAACTTGACCCTAGCCATGCTGCAAAGCAACAGGGTCAGGACTCCCCAGAGTGGTAGTCACAAGGCTATAAATATGAAATGCAGATTAGCTGGGTGACAGTGTGAACAATTTCACAACCAGCAACCTGATTGATATTATGTCATCATCCAATCAACAGAGATTTTCATACACCACTATCTTAGTTAACATGAGTAGCATCAATATCCCAATAATGGGGGTCACCTCCTTTTGTACCACCAAAAACAACCACAACCCCCTCCCCCCATTACCAACAGATCCAAACTGAGTCCAGTGACCATGAACCTCAAGACCCAGCACCACCACTAATACCATCTCATTTCTGCTGAGGAAAGGACCAAGGGCACTACCAGGGATATGGAGCCATGAGCATGAGCCTGCTGCTTGGAGGTTCTTCCTGAGTTGCATCCTATCTAGGACCATTGTTTGCAGACACCAAGCAGCCAGGCCCTAGGAAAGGGAGAGGAGGCAACAAAGAGCATTTTAAAGGATCTTGGGTTCTTGTTCCTGCTCAGTTCCTGAATGGAGTTCTGAAATCCCAAAAGGAAGGTATCAGAGAGCAAGCACTGCAGAGAACTTACATGCTTTAGTCCTAAAAACTGCCTGTGAGACCACCTCAAGCTGGTCTAGGATTTTACAGCTGCCTCCTACCTTGGTCATAATTCACTTTATTTATTTATTTTTTTAGTTTTTGGCATTGGAGATTGAACCCTGAACCTCATGCATTGCTAAGCACATGCTCTACCCAAAAGCTATACCTCCAGCCCCAAGGAGGTAGAGCCTACTCTAAATATCTAAGCAAAAATCAAACTAAACTAACCTAGACTCAAATGTTCACAACTGCATGGGACTATATCTCTTTACATAGCTTGACTCTTGCTTCTACCTGGGCACCATTGAAGAGGAGTGTGACCACCCTTTGTCCTTGCCTTGTTTTGGTGGCCCTTGGTGGGGTCCAGTTTATGTTGTTGTTATTGATGATGGACCTACTACATCTGAAAAGGATGTTATTAGTGGTGGTACTGAGTCTTTAGATTCATGGTCACTGGGCTCAATTTGGATCTGCTGGTGATGGTGTGGATACTGTGATTGGTGTTGGGGGAGTGAAAGGGGGTGATTGCCATTATTAGAATATTGATGATACTTGTGTGAACTGAGATAGTGGTGTATGAAAATCTGTTGATTGGATGATGACAGAATATCAATCAGGTGACTGGTTGTGAAATTTAACCCAGCTGATCTGCATTCCATCTTTATAGCCTGGTGAATACTGCTCAGGGGAATCCTAGCCCGATTGCTTTGCTTTTTTGACTTGTGGTCTGTGTGACTTGCACCCCATCAGCTGGAGTGGGAGTGGTGTCCTGAAACCTTTGCTCACTCCACCTTGGCCTCAGAATACATTAAAAAAAATTCATATCCTGAGATCATAGAGCTGGACCTACTGAACATGACCTCCTCTGCATTCCCTCCATTTTAGCCCAAATGATTAACTCCCTCTTGTCAGCAACTCTGCTTCCTCTGCTCAGACTGCCTGTGCAGCCTTTCCTATTTGCACACACCCGAATCCTAACCATTCCTGAAGACCACACATGCTGACTCTTCTTTCAGGAAGCCTTCTCTGATCCTCCAGTAGGAGGGACATCTGTCTGTCACCCCACACAATCAATCTTAGGTTGTAGTCACAGACACCATTGTCCCTTTCTAATTCCTTTAGCACCCACTGCAGCTAAACATCTTGACAGACACCCTCAGATATGGACACTGAATAAGAATATCACTATTGCTTATATCAAATGGCTTCATAAGGACCCCTGGCCTGGGGTTACATGAGACACTGCATATAGGGGCCTGGGGCAGCTGAGAAGTCACAGGCAGGCAAGAAAGCAAATAAGAACCTTCCAAGTCTTCAACTAAGTGGCTCCAACAAGTTGGAGGCCCGGGACAGGGGTCCTAGAGCCTGCCAACTCTGAATGATTGGCTCAGGTCCTCTGGCAGCCTCAGGATACCCACTGTCTGGGACCTCTTTCTGTTTGGCAGCTCCCTGCTCCATAACCAATACTTGGGCCTTGCAAGTCTTCAGTAAAATGTCAGTCAAATATAGTTGTTTTCCAGGAAGAAAGGGGAAAGGAATCCCCCTTTCCTCCCCAAGATGGATTCCTCAGCCAGAGTGATGTTTACCTGGTCTTTCCCTGGTTTTGGTGTCAGACTGCTGGAGGCAAGAAGAGATAGGAGGCCAAGGAGGAACAGGCTGTCAGGGAGCTTTGGGGAG